CTTTATTATTATTATCTCTAATTGTTAATGTCTCATTCTTAAATATAGCCCTTTTCTCCGGGAGGTGTGTGTGTGTGTGAGGGGAACTGAGATCAGAAATCATCCTAAGACATGGGAGAGAAGAGGATGGCAGAGTAAGCATTAAGTTCACTGTTTCTTCTATCATTTCAGTTGAAAACTTGAAACTGTGAAGCTGTGAGTAAGCTTTGGATTTAACTGCAGTTGGAAAGTGAGCTACTAATCTCTCCCCTTTCTCCTGTCCTTCCTATGCTTGTCTTCCCTCAGTGACAATAGCTATTTGGGATTTTCTTTTCCTTATCGTAAACTGAAATATTCCAGGACTATAGCTATGCTGAGTTTGGTAAGAAGCAAATTTCCCCAAATTACTTGTTTGTGAAAATGTGGGAAGAATAGATCTAATCCAGTTTTCCTCTTCGGGTATATCAGTTTACAAAAGCCATCCTGCCAGTGCTCTTCTGGAAGTCAGCAGCTAAGGGGCTGCTAGTCTAGGCCTATGCCCAGTCTTATCTGTTTCCTCCAGGCCTGCTATGAAACATGCAGCAGCGAGAGGAGAGACTGGCAAACACCATTCTCTTCCCTGCCCGAGATCCTGATTTCATCCTGCTTTAGAATCCAGAGTAGTATCTTTATGAGAGGACTGCCTTCTCCTGCAAGCTCTTTACTCCTCCCCTTAATAACTACAGTAGTACCAGGAGAGAGAGGTGGGGAGAAATAAATAGATATATAAATGTGTGTGTATTTCCTTATTTAGCTTAATTATTGCAAGTGAACAAGAACTTGATTTTTCTTAGCTCTTCATTCTCTTTTGAAGAAGCCAGGACTTTGTTTCAGTAGAAATCCTATGATTTCAGTGCAGAAGCAATGCGTGTTCCACCTTCCAGAATTGTATTTTTCCTGCAGCCTTAAAATCATACTTTCAAAAAACGGGTCCCTTTTTCTATTGCAGTGTCTGTTTGGCCTCCCTCTGTGCTGGAGATTGGCACTAGGCCTGTTCGATGCAGCTCAGGAGTGCCAAATACAGTAGCATGCCTCCTTGGCCCCTGCTGGCAACCATCCAGGCTGCCCTTGATACCCCTGTGTTTCCTTTGCTCAAGGATACGTCACAGTACAAACGGCTGTACCCTCCTAGCGTCCCAGCCCCTGCCAACAACTGGGGCCGCCGTTTACTGGAGCATGGAGATTATATATCAAAAGGAGCACACATACAAGTCCTCAATCCCTTCTGCAAACAGGCTTAGCTAGTAATGCATTCCCAAGCAAAGATGATGCCTAGATTGCACCGGGTCAGGCTTTTCTTCCTGCCTGTACAAAATCCACTTCCAGTAAGGTGCAAAGCAAACAGATGGGCTGAGAAAGCCCTGCCTACTGCCGCCATTGTGTATGGGTTTTTCCTTCCATTAAGAAAGGCCTGTCCCTGGCTGCAAGCCAGGCTCCTGCTGAGGCCTCTTGCGGGGAGGGGCGGCAGCCGCAAGTGTAACAGGTGCAGGCATCTTGGCAAGGAAAGCAGGGTTTTTCTCCTGGTGCCTTTTCATCTTCCCTGCACGCAGGATAATTTGAATAGGCTTTGGTCTGCAAGGGATCACAGGCTCCCTAAAGCCCTGCAGCGAGGGCAGTTCCAGGCAAGAGCTTCAGAGAAGGAAGGAAGGAAGGAAGGAGCTTTCAGGCAGGGGCCCACACTGCCTCCAGTCTCACCGGGATCTTGAAAGGGAAGAGAGGGAGGGATTAGAGGCCAACTGATGAATTTGTCAAGGAGACTGCAAGCCCAGCCTCATTCCTGTGTCAATATTGATTCACTGATCCTCTGTGTATTGTTTACCAATTCTCCCAAGAGATTGGAGCACCCTTGAGATCTTTAGATGCATTCATCAAATGCAAGAACAAGCTTAGCATTCAGGAAACTGAGGCCGCGGAAGGCTGGCAAGAGCCCTTTCTGCTGATTTGGACTTCTCTATTATAGTGTCAGGGACACAAGAGCATCTTCCTTATTGGGATATCAGGCAGGAAAAAACAAACAAAAAGGCTGGATTGCTGTGTGGGTCTCCCAAACATGGCTGAGTCCAGAACTTGAGTGTAGGCTTCTCTATCTCACTTGGCAAAAAAAATACAGCTTCCATTAAAGGAGTCATCAGCAGATAACAGAACAAACAATTTCCTCTGTTATATCCTTCCCTCCTCACATGATGCTTTCTGAAGGAGCATTTTCTTCATTAAGAAGTCTCATCCCTGCGAACATAGAGTTTCTCCCATATGACTGCTGCAGGGTGAAGAGTGCAAAAGATCTCTGCAAGGATATGCTGCCCTGGGAGCCGTAGCACAGTTCTGGCAGCGTGCCAGATGCCAGCGATGCCAAGTTCTGCCAAGATCTACGTGCGCAGACTCACTGCTGTAGACTTCCATGCCTAAGGCAGGAAGAGCATTCCATTCTTGCCAACAGAGTTTAGTTAGGTCCTGCGCACCCCACTGTATTAAAAAGATGTAAATACAGTTTGTTGTACAGAAGGAAGGTAAGCGCTGTTCGGAAGAGTAAGTGCATCTGTCAGGTAACCCCAGTGGGCCATTTCTTTGTAGCGGTGTCAGGGCAGTGAAAATCCTCTCTCAGATATGAAGAATATGTATCTGAGACATTGCAGGGAGAAGATTAAGCCTTCTTTCACCCTTTTTTCCACTCCAGATAGTAGACCAATATGACTATGTAACTCACATGGAGACACCCCCCCACCCCAGAGGCTTTGGTGGGCAAGCATTACAACCCACAAACTCTGCAACACCATCAGGAAACATGAGGGATTCTCAAACATGAGGACAAGGTAGAATTGCAGAATTGTTTGTGATGACTGGAAGCATAGGGAGGAATTTGATAGTACAGTATATGGCACTTGAAGCTTTGCTAGGCAGAATGGTTGTGAAAGGGAGGATAATTAAGGCCATGTTGCAGTATACTTAGGGCACGAAAATGTGAATGTTGTACAGGGCTCTGAATCGAGGGAACAGAAAGTCGGGGATAGATAAATCCTGTTTTTCTTATTTAAAGGGAAAGGCCTTTATATTATGCAGCCACCTGAGTTACAATGTCATGAGATAGTCCTTTGCTTTAGTACATTCTAGATGCCCTGAGGGTCTGGATGGGGAAGAACAGGCTACAACCCTAGCAAGACTGAGTGGCAATGGATTTGGAAGGTCACATGGATTAGAGATCTTCCATCTTTGCTACTGGATGGGGTTGTACTACTCCAGACAAAAGTGGTAGGCAGTTTGGGGTCCCATCTAGATGCATGGCTCCTGTTCAAGGGCTTTTGCATCTATCTTGTGAACCAGTTGTAACTGTACTTGGATTGTAAGGCCCTACTTATAATCACTCATATGTTGGTCACCTCATGCCTGGCCTACAGCAATGTGAAGTCATGTGAAAAGGTAAGTACAGCTCATTGAATTTTTTGACTTTTTCAACATATTTCAATATACAGATATTTGTTCTTCATTTCAACAATATTGATAGATAAAGGGGATGTAATAATAACAAATATGCACTAATTATGCAAATTTTAATTAATATTTATTTTATTTTAATTAGCATTTATTCTTTTTTACTGTAAACCACCCAGAGTCACTCTACAGTGAGATGGGCAGTGACAAATTTGAAATATTAATTAATTAATTAATTTCATGCTGGAGTCTCCCTTTCTTCATCGAGGAAACCAAGACTGTTAAGGAAATTGGCAACCTGAATCTGCTAGATTCAGCGAATGCTTCATGAATTGAATCCTTTTCCACATTGCTTATGCTGAGAATGAAAACCAAGACCAGCTCTGCTCACAGGCTCATCATGTAGCTGACAAGGAATGAGGAAGGAAGAGGAACAAGTAAATTTAGGCATCAAGTGCTAGCATTAGATATCTAAGCAGTATCATCTGTCCAGGACAGATGGGCCTCTCTGCCAGTAAACGTACACATATTGTATCAATCTGCCACTCACAACTCCCAATTTCAGTAACTCTCCTTGCAACCAGTAATGGTTCAAAAGAAAGTTCATTTATTGAGAACAAGTGTACAGTTCCAAAGCATTGCTAAGACTGAGCCCATGCATGCCAAAAGTTCCTTTTACGTTTTTCTCTTCCCCCTTGCATCCCCCTGACCTCCCAGTCTTCTCACACTCGACCTTGAGCATTCCTCAGTCTTTGATAACAGCCCATCTGCCTCTAATGGTCATTTCGTTCATCCATCCTTCCAGATCCTACTAGCACCCCCCCCCATCTCCTAATGGCAGAACCCAAGCAAGCAAGCAAGCTGGCAAGTAAGGTGGTTAATTGATTGTGAGGATTCTGACACACATGCACAATCCTGCTGCAGCTATAAGCTGCTGGTGAATGGTAAGGACCTCAGAGTTAGCATCCTTTCTGCTCTGCAGGGCTTATTTTTTTTAGCCTGCTTATGTATGCTTAGGGTGATTTCTTTGAAGATGGCAGCTATGCAGGTTCCTTTGTCACCATAAGGAAAGCTTATGTGTTGCATCCTAAGCAAGAAAAGTTAACAGGAGAAAGCCTTTGGAGACCTCCCCCACAAAATACAGTGTGCAGGTAACACGTTCAATTGAAGGACATCAATAGGACATCCTTACACTGAGCTGACAGGATGCTGTGCTGTTACAGAAATGTTTCCTATGGGAGTATGACACAATCCTCCAAATGCAGCAGTTGTGAAAAAGATGATCAGGCAGTTGGCAGGATGAGTATCTGTAAATTCAATTGCTTTTTGAAAAAAGCTAACAAACTTAGGTGCCATACACCATGCAGAGATCAGTTTGCAGCATGAATTCCACCATGGAATTGTTGAGAAGCAGATCCTCCTTTCCCCATATTTCCATTTTCATGTATGGATTCACTTCAGACTCCAGAGAAGCTCCATAGTATTATGATGTATAAATCCTTATTCTTGCTTTAGAATTTAAATTGAGCTTTTCCTTTTTTGCTGTTCATTCTCAGGAGCTCTCCCAGAGAAAGGAGACTTGCTGCTTGACCCAGTTATGGATCAGGAATTAGAGAAACTGTAAGTACTTTTAAAAGAGAGCAACTAAGTCACTAAGGCACCATTATTTTACCTTTTAGGTGTCACATGAGGGTTCTTGACGTTAATGTAACAGCAATGGTAATTTTTCCTTTGACTCTAAAACATGGCAGGTAAACAGTTGAAATTAATTCAAGAACCAAAGGAAAGCATTGTGCAGTTGATAGGAATATCAAGAAAGGAGCAAGCCTGCATCACCAAATGTTAGGTCCTAGAAAAGTTCCAAATAGGCCACTATTTCCATAGGAGCAAATATCTGGCCTTCGAAGGGAAGGAGTTGGCAGAAGACTGCATTCCCTTCTCAACTTTTTAGCAAATTGTCTGTCAATAGATCCTTTTACACATTCCTCAGTATGTCTTCACCAGCTTTTATAGTGACAGTTTGAATCCAACCAAAGTAACAGCATGTTTTATCTTCTTTCAGGATTGCACCAGTTTCTGGCCTTTCAGTTTCCAATTCTGTCGGTGCTAGTGGGGATGCAACAAACATGCCTTCTCGTGCTTCTCCACGGATCTGTTCCCTTTGGAGGCCTCTCCACCACCGTCGAAAAATGGATACCGAAAGCGATGGCTCCACAGAAGAGACAGATTCTTCAGAGAACTGATAAATACAGGATTAGCAGGTCCTTATAACAGAAGCAGTGTGAAGTTTAGGAAAAAGGGGATGGAGACCAATTCCAGTTGTAGGATCATACTGCTCTCTTGTGGCAAATATGTCAAATTGATTGAAATATGAGAACATTTGTTTCAGTGTTAAGAAATTAATTCTCAGTATGGAGTTTGCATCACAATCTTTTGAACTCTGTTGTACACACAAGAATTTACCTTTTCTCCACATATGTACCCTTTATTAGATTCTCAATATTAAAGTATTTCATAAAAGTTCAGATCAGACAGGAAAACACTTGGCTTTGATGAATGGGTAATTTTTTTTCACTGTGGGTTCAGGAGAACAGAAAAATATTATTCTGTAAACTTTAAGCTACCCGTGAACTGTAATATATAGAAAAATAAAGAACGTTGCACAAGGCAAGTAGATCAACTGAGATTTCTTGCATCAAAAGTTATATTGTAAAATGTAATAACTATCATTTTCTAGATGTCTTCTGGAAGGAAGTAAAAAGTAGTGTTGAAGAATCACGACAAAGGACTTTTTCGCACTCCTGGGGAAGAGAACTATGATTGGTATCCAGCTGAAACTAAAAGGCAATATTCCTTGCAGTCAAAAAATAAATAGCCACCATAATATTACAGAATGCTTCCAGACTTTAAAAAAAATAAAACTAACACAAATGGCAAACTTTAGCCTTATTTTCACACTAGACCACTCTAAATTGTTCATCTTTCTTTAAATCTAATTTTCATTCCTAGAGCTTAGTATAGAAAGCAAGATGGGGGGGGATGGCTTTCTACCTATGTATTTTTTTATTATTATTTAGGGCCCAGGAAAGAACGAACCACAAGAGTTGAGAACACAGGAATCCCATCTGATTTATTGGAGGGGAGGGAGACTCCATTCCCTCCCCTTTAAAACCCGCATACAGCAGTGCCATAACTTTGGCTGCATGAAGCTTATTGATATTCCCATGAATCTCAAGTACACAGATGATTCAAGCAGGGAAGCCTCTTCCAATCTCAGAATAAAAAGCAGTGGCCTGATATGAAACTCTGCAAACCCCTTGCTCAAGAACTGAGCAAGCAGTTTTAAATCTGCAACACTCAAAACTGGAGAGGGTATTATTTTCAGAATCCTATGAACACAAAAGGAGAAGCAAGCAGAGGGGGAAATTTCTGGTCAGTCCATGCAGGCATTTATTTTCATAGGAAGTGCACAAGGTGTAAGCAGATTAATTGCGCTAACGAATACATTAATGTGAAAGTGGGTAACCTCAAAGGATATTGGTAACCTTATCTGCCTCTAGCAAGTGTACCTCACTGAAACTCAAAGACATCATTTCAGCGTATTCTTGGTGATTGCTCTATTAAATGACAGGCTTGCCTTCTTAGGGGATACAGTAGATTTTATGGCGGCTTCCAGATGAACCCACAGCTGCAGTAGCAACAATCATGCAATTTGAATGCAAAATGGTTACAACAGCAAGCACCATTTCACAAGGAAATCATTCTCCCACTCTGCTGAAATGAGAATACTTCCAGTGGCAAAATATCACTGAAACCAGGGATACAGCATGCAGATGCAGTAGGGGGCTTTGCAGCAAAATACCTTCTATTGTCTCGGGCATGAGATTAGCAATGTAGGATGGAATGGAGCATTTATCTGCTCCAGTTCCTCTTTGATCAGTAAAGCTATACCAATTTATGAGAACAATCCCAGAAAGCATATGGACAAGAGTGAAACCCAGATAGGTCGAAAAAGCCACCTTGAAACTGATTTTGTTTCTGTATACAGTTTGCAGAACAGCTATGATGTTCAGTCAAGTCCATCCATGTGATTCATAAGGAAAGTTAGTAGTAGCAATGGCTGTGCAACAAAAATGGGACACAGTGAATGGAGTGAATAGTTATAGTCACACTCATTTCAGCTCCAATATCTTTTAACATCTGAAATAAAAAATCAGACAGCACCCAATGAACAACCATTTGATTATATGAAAGGTCTGATAACCTTTTCTTCATTTATCACTGAAGATCTCTTATCTCCTGTATCAATCTATCATCGGTCATATTTGCAGAATAAAAGGATCTTAATTAAGGCCAAGAGTGCTGACCTTTCACTGCATGCTGTATGTTTGTGCTTTTAAGCTACTACTCTCAAAGGGTGCATCATACTGGTTCCATAAGGCAGTAAGATTACCATGGACAGAGGAAGGAATTTCACTCTATTTTGGAGCATGGGTTCTAGAGAGTCTCCACCAATGCAACATTTACTGCAGTTTGCCTCTGAATGCAGAAGCATGAAGAATATTACACACTACTTCCTGCTTCCACAATACTAAGTCCACCAACAGCAGTCAGGGAGATGAATAGAAATATAAAGAGCAGCACCACAATGACAACTGTACCCTATCTCAGTCCGCAGCAGCAGAGGGATGTTCTCTGGAAAGGCCCATACTTCAGTCGCTGAAGGCTGGGTTTTGACAAAATATTTGTTTTCTAATACAAAACAATATCCAGAAAACCTTCGAGTACAGAACAAGCATGTCCATTTCCTCTATTCTCAAGAGCCCTCAGCCATGCTCAGCTTAGAAGTGATCCTGCAGAGTTTCAAGTTCAAGTGGTGTTCCGTCAATGGCCAAGAGGTACAGTCTTCTAGATCATCAGTATGAACCATAGCGGTCCTAAGGGTAAGAGGGGAAAAGAGAGAGAGAGAGAGGCAAAAAACAGACCATTTAACAAATTGTCCATAAACATGACTGAAGATTTCTGTATGACTTATGAGCCAGTCATATCAAAAAGGGTAAGAGGGGAAAAGAGAGAGAGAGGAAACTATTAAGGTCTGTGAAGTGGTTTACAAAAAGATACTATCAGAGTAGAGAACTCTATGCAATCATCCCAGAATGTCAGAAAAAATGAGGATGGGAATTTACTTTAGCTTCATTACTAGACAATTCTTTGAGCATGCATGTTTACACAACTAACACAAATATAAAAAACAAATAGATGCAGGATTGAACTCAAGACTTGCACACCATGCCTGAAGTATGAATGGAATCTGGGTCACTATTCAAGACAGTATATGGTGGTCCTTTCTTTTCCTCTGCCACGTTATTAAGTATATGGTAGAGAAATATGGATGACCTTATTGTTCAAGAAAAATATCCACCAAACTTGTAAATTGAGCCTAACCAAAACTCTAGAGCAACTCATTCACTAGCAACATTGAAGAGTGTTTTGTTTTATTTTAGGAAGATCCTTCCGTTTAGTGTGTCTAATTATTTTTATCCTTGAGTTTGCTGCCATTTTACTATCTTACCATCAACCGTGGCTAGTCAGTCAACAACACGGAAGATGTTAAGCTCCCTTGTTGGGCCTCGTCTTGATGTCTGTGCTTTCTTTGGCTTTATTTTCAAATAACTATTATCCTCTTTGGAGAGTTCAGAAGTCTCCTTAAGGACTTATTCTACTGCATGCTATATAAATACAGTTCAGATAGGGTTGCAAATCCCACTAATACAGTATTAGTTGGGAGATATATCTGGCTGTAATATCAAAGTTTCTATTCAAAATCAACATTTTAACATCACCTTATTTGCATACAGTGCCATTATCAACTGGATCCAAGTAGCTTGGCAAAATTTGCAGGTTCAAACTGATCATGAAAAATACAATATTTCTTTAGGTGGACTAATCAACTAGTTGTCTTAGATGTACTTAAATTAGAGCTTTTGAACCCCACTTGGCAGAATTAAGTAATGTGACGCCCATGAGCATCAAGTTCTTTTGTTTCAAAAATATACAGGAAAAAGGCATGCTGAAATGCAAATTGACAGCCTCCAGCATTATCTCTATTTTCAGTAATGTTTTGGATCCCACATTGTTGATGAATAATGGCAACTCAAGGTCTTATTTAGAAGCATGCTCAACTGCCCAGAAAAAAAAGACCAAAGTAAGCTAGGCAGATGGAAGGAGGTAGAGGGGATGGCAGGAGCAATCTGACCTATTGTTTTGTAACTGACTGTACTCCCAATGGCACCTACAACATGCTCTCAAAATACTAAAGAACCACCCAGTCTACACTATCATATGAGATTCATCAGTTATTACACGTGCTTTCCATGTAAGCACATTTAATCGCCCATTTAAACCCTCTTGCTAAATTTTCATAGCAAATATATGATTGAGGAGCCTGTGTGGTGTGATGATTAAGACACTAGGCTAGGACTGGGGACACTCAGATTCTAGTTCATCCACCACCACAGAAGCTCACTGGGTGACTATGGGCCAATCATTCTCTTTCAGCCCAACTTCCTACCTGCTGTTACTGTAAGAAAAAAAATATGAGGTAAGAATCCAAGGTACATCATCTTGATCAAGATGGTATACGTTTAATAATTAACTTCCCCCTCACATCTCACCTGCAGTGAGTTCATCACACCGTTGGCCAGGACAGCCATCTTGCCAGCAACAGACTTTACTCCCTGCTTGAACTGAGCAATGTCAGCAGCAGGTAGCACATTTCCAATGGATACACCACCTACCGAGAAGAAAAAATATTAATATGTGTTAGATAACTTTGCCATATAAGGAAGCTACTCCTCTTATGAAAGAGAGCTTAACTGCCTGAGCTCACACATTTTTATAAATCTTACTCTACTCACTGCTCTCTACCAAACTGCCTTCAATATGGAACTGATGGCAGCAAAGCCATGGCGTGAGTCATGAACTCTCACAGCACTATTCCAAAATAGTTCCAAAAGGAACAGCCAAATTCTTTTTTGTTTTTGATGGACATACCTGAATTTGCTGTTTCCGATTCTCCAAAAAGGTCAACAGAACTAATGGCATTGCTTCCAGAGAGCTGCTGGAGCCGGGATCTGGCCTCATACTGGTCGAAACAAAAAGAAAAAAGATAAGGAAAAGAAACTAATATTGGCCAGGTACATTGCTGCTGACAATAATCAGAAATGGGCCTCTGTGGGCAGAGAAATCATAGAAAACCTACCTCAGCATCAACTTCTCGCCCAAAGAACATGTCAGATGAGATGGCTTTGGCACCTGCAAACTTCTGTCGAGCTTCATTAGACTCTACTACTGATACCTTGCTGTCCGTTTCTCTTCTGTTGGTCGGTCTGAATAGAAGAGAAAAGCACTGAAATTTTTCATTCGCTACAAATATCAAGCAGATCCTCTGTACTCTTCATTCACACAGCCCTCTATTAGACCAAAGGACTGCATTCCCCTCATTTTACCTGTCACCAATGGGTCGCATGCTTGAGACCGTGATGTCTGTCTCCTCTTCTCTTTTGTCAAGTCCCCAGGAGGGCATTTCTGTGTCCCATTGTGAACCAAAACCATCTCCTAGTGAGAATGGATTATCTTTGTATCTAGGAACAAATGAGAGAAAGGAATCTATGCAGGCCAGATAGAGAAATATTAACAGAAGTAAAAGTTCAGCAAAGCTTAGTCATACTTGGGTGGTCCAGATGTGAAGCTTCCTGTATCTTCAAAGAGGCCCAGCTGAGACCGAGAGGACTTTACACTCACTGGTGTTTCTTGTTCTATTACTTGCATCTCAGACAGGACAGAGTGTGAAATGGAACTAGAAGAAACAATACAAAGTTAAAAGGCCTGGCAGAACTCCATATTTCCAAATATTTCCTCAACACTAGGATTACCTTGGCACGTATCACTTTTCACTTACTTAAACAGAACTGCTTTTGCCATTTGGATGACTGTTCATCTAATTTAAAGAGA